GTTCCAAATAGCAACTCAATCACCGGAGACAGTTTAGTAGGTAAAATGTGCTTACTGACAAATCTTACCATGTGAGTTCAATCAAGACTGACATGATAGAAGACAATCAACAGAATCCTGCACGTTATCTTCTGAATACACACACACACACACACACACACACACACACACACACACACACACAAGAACACAAACACAGAATAAATAATAATAAAATAGTTTGAAATAAAGTCAAATTCATTGGGGGAAAATAGAGGTCATTAACCCCAAGCCTCAGCTTTGATTGAAACTTGCTTGCATTTTTTGACTATGGGCTCTTTGTCCAGTTGTTATTTTCATAGAGGCCAAGGACCTGTGTAACCTTGCGCTTGAAAGAAATTTCCATAAACACAATTTTTAAAAGATGGAATATTTATTTGAATATATAAAATATAAGTAATATTTAAGTCCAACTACATAGAGTGGATTTGCAGAAGCACATTTTGTTTTTTATTTATTGACTTTAACTCTAGTAATGAAACAATTCATGAACAGTAAAACTGATTGTAAACATGAAGTCAATGACGGTTCAGGGTTTTTCATCTTCTCCATAAACAATAATAAGATTATATATTCCAAAGTTTTAAGGTCTTCAGAAACATACTTTCCTGGTCATTATTCCAAAACAGTTGTTTATATAGTGTCTGTATTGCCTTAGGTAGTAAGTAATTAAGAATTTAGAGATATTTAACATTTTACATAGGTATATGTAAGCAGTATGTCACTTTACATAAGACTATGGACATCCACAGATTCTGCTATCTGTCGGTGTCCTAGAGCAACTTTGCCATTATAAAGGGGAGCTGCCTATACTTTATGAAAACAGTGGGGATGTTTGCACATATTGCATATTTAATAACTAGCTAATATTACTAGAGTTTTGTTGCTGTCTTTGCTCCTAATAGTTTATTATTTGTGATCAACATTTCTTTCTTTTTTTCTGCTTCTTTCTCAATGAAGTATTACTAAACATAAGTATACTCTCCTATGATTTACTGAACTCTCTAAACCTCTGTGTAAAAACAATTTTTATACATGCCATAATTTCTTCAAGGTCTTCATAGTTTTCTGAAGAGCAAAAGATACATCTTAGCCATTATCTTCATGCATCACGATCTTTATAAGCCTTTGTCCATCTCTATTTCCCTAAGTCTTTCCATACTAAGATGGTATAACAGCATGGAAAGGCCTTCACTTACCTTTGCTCCATTAATGGCTCGGTTTAATTAGTATGTTTTTAATTTTTAATTTTCATTGTGTGTGTGTGTGTGTGTGTGTGTGTGTGTGTGTGTGATGTGAAATGCATGTAATGAGTTCAAGTGGGCTTGGAATGTGGCACTCCTGTGTGGATAACAGAAGAGAATTTCACAATTCAGTTTCCTTCTATCACTGTAGGTTCTAAGGATCAAACTGGAGTAACCAGGCTTCTGTGGCAACCCAGTGAGCCTCAGTGAGAATGATCTTCAGTGAAACTTCCTTGTAGACAATCACTCGGGTATTCCCAGTGAGTAACAGAGTCCTGCTTGCAGCATGGTTTGCCTACTCATAGCATGTCAAATAAGAGGGGTAATTAGTGTGGGCCCTGTGTTCCTTTGTGGTAATAAGGAAAGCAAAGGTCAAAGTTTGTACTCTGTGCCAACAGAACAGTACCTTATATTTGTCCCGAAAACTTCCTTTTGGACACTGCTTGTACACACACACACACACACACACACACACACACACACACACCACCACCACCACCACCACCACCACCAGCAATAATCTCTTTCAGAAACTTCAGTTTTATAATCATCAAGTGCTCTGCATGTGAACTCCTCAGTTTTGCTGGATTAGAATGGCACCACTGAATCTCTAAGAAGAGAAAGTGGGGGTACGCTTGAACGACTTGGTACAGGAAACAGCTTCCTGAACATAACACCAGGAGCACAGACTGTGAGATCCACAATTAATAGATGGGACCTCCTGAAACTGAGAAGCTTCTGTAAGGCAAAGGACATAGTCAGCAAGACAAAAAGGCAACTCACAGAATGGGAAAAATATTCACTAACCCCACATCTGACAGAGGGTCGATCTCCAAAATTTACAAAGAACTCAAGAAGCAAGTCTCCAAATCACCAAAGGATCCAATTAAAAAGTGGGCTGCAGAACTAGAGAATTTTCAATAGAGGAGCCTAAAATGGCTGAGAGGCACTTGAGAAAGTGCTCAACATCCTTAGCCATCCGGGAAATGCAAATCAAAACAACTCTGAGATGCCATCTCACTCCTGTCAGAATGGCTAAAATCAAAAACACCAATGACAATTTATGCTGGAGAGGATGTGGTAAAAGGGGGGACACTCCTCCATTGCTGGTGGGAGTGCCAACTGGTTCAGCCACTTTGGAAATCAGTATGGAGATTCCTCAGAAAAATGGGAATAAACCTACCACAAGACCCAGCAACTCCACTCTTAGGCATATATCCAAAAGATACCCATTCATACAACAAAGATGTCTGTTCCACTATGTTCATAGCAGCTTTATTTGTAATAGCCAGAACTTGCAAGCAACCTAGATGTCCCTCAACCGAAGAGTGGATAGAGAAAATATGGTACATTTACACAATGGAGTACTATTCAGCAGAAAAAAAAACAATGGAATCATGAGATTCGCAGGCAAATGGATGACACTAGAAGAAACCATCCTGAGTGAGGTAACCCAGTCACAAAAAGAGAAACATGGCATGTACTCTCTCATATATGGATTTTAGACATAGATCTGGGGAGAGCCAGCCTACAATCCTATGGCCAGAGAGTCTGGGAAACAGAAACTTCATTTAGTGGCTGATCCAAGAAGAGGCAGACTCCCTCGGTTAAGTACTGAGCTGAACTCAAGAAAGCCAGTAACAGAGAGGGAGGACTGATGATCAAAGGGATTAAGACTGGACTGGTTTAACCCCCCCAGAAACAGCTGACCAGACAAAGGTTAACTCTTGAATCCTAGGCATCAGTCTGGGAATCCAGCATGGGACTGATCAAGACCCCCTGAATCTGGGTGTCAGTGAGGAGGCCTAGGTAAACTAGTGAGCCTTGGGCAGCAGATCAGTACCCATCCCAAGTATACACAGGGACTTTGGACTCCCATAGAACAATGTGAGGTTTACTCTCACCCTGAACTCTTGGGGAAGGGTCTAGGCCCTGCCCTATATGAAATGACAGACTATGGACACCCCCATGGAGGGTCTCACCCTCCCTGGGGGAATGAGGGGATAACGGGGGGGGGTTGGGGGGAGGGTACGGGAGGAAGGGAGGGAAAGGGAGAGGGACCTGGAACTGACTTGTGAAGCAACCTTGTTTCTTATCTAAATTTAAACTGGAAAAAAAAGTGAGGAGTCAACATATTTTTCAATCTTTTCTCAAAGAGAAGCCAAAATGTCCCAGAAGTCAAATCCTATGCTCTAACCTCAGTAAGAGGTAAGAAACGTATCTTGAGGAAGCATGGCCGGAGAGTCAGGGAAATAGAACCTTCATTTAGTGGCTGATGGAGGCAGAGGCAGTCTCCCATGGCTAAGCATTGAGCTGAACTCAAGAAAGCCCGTAACAGAGAGGGAGGACTGATGACCAAAGGGCTTAAGACTGGGCTGGTTTAACCCCCCAGAAACAGCTGACCTGACAAGAGTTAACTCTTGAATCCCAGGCTGATGCCTGGGAATCCAGCATGAGGCTGATCAAGACGCCCTGAATGTGTATGTCAGTGAGGAGGCCTAGTCAATCTATTGGGCCTTTGGTAGTTGACCAGTGTTTATTTCTGGCATACAAATGGACATTGGGTGCCCATCACACAACGAGAGAGGCACTCTCACCCTGGACTCTTGGGGGAGGTTCTAGGCCCCGTCCTGGATGAAATGACAGACTATGGACACCCCCATGAAAGAACTCACCTTCCCTGGGGAAAGGAGGAGGTATTGGGTGGGTCTTGGGAAGGGATGGGAAGAGGGGAGGGAAAGGGAGAGGGACGTGAGATTGACATGTGAAGAAACCTTGTTTCTAATTTGAATTTAAATTTAAAAATAAAAATTTTTAATATAAAAAATGGCACCAATGTGGAGGATTTTTAACATACGCAAGAGAACTGAGATTTGGTTGAGCCCATAAACTACGAAAGCAGTTTCAGATCTTATGAATGAACCAATACCTATTACCAACCCAAGTCTTGTGTACACATGTGCACAAACATAAGTAATTATATTCACACAAAAGAGGGAAAACATAGCAAACTTTGATTAAGTTAAAATAGAGAGAGCTCTCTATATCCCAAACTGAATCCTGTAAAAATAGATTATTAGATAAAACTACTTAAACATGAAAAAGTACAAAGTATTAAATGATGGGTTCTATGTAATTAAGCTGTATCCAAGCTTAGTAAATAGCTCAACCAACATTCTTTCCTTTGATGACTAGTAAGGGAAATAACTCATTTTAACATTATAAAACTAATTGTAAAAGTAACTTGGTATCATAAATCAATCAAACTCTTTTGGAAAATGAATGATATGTAGTGAAATGTTTCTTTCTGTCTTGCAGCCTAAACTTTTCATAATGAGTAATATTCAAATATACTTTTAGAAATTAAAGATACCCTAGCATTTGTGAAGAATATTATTGCTAATGCTTAAAGGTGTTTTTTATCAAAAATTAGAATGAGGCACAATGGTCATTGTGGAGAGTTCATTAATGAAGAGATTACAAGAATCTCTAGGGTGTGTAACTGAACTTGCAGTGAAATTGATAAAGCTTCCATATTGGAAATTCCCTATGGCTATTATTGATTTAGAGTTTGGGACACTGGATACAATTCAGATACAAACAAAATTATCCTAAGAAAGAAATTTACATATAAATATGAATATATAATGTAATTTAAATTAATGTGAAAATCTTACAGGCATGTATTTTCTTGTGGAGATCCATAGTTAAACATACCTGGCTAGGCTGAAGGCATCATCAATCAAGCCTGCACGGTTACTGACGGAAAGTACCTATGAGGCCAGTTAGGAAAAAAGAAAGGATGGGGGGTGGTAATTCTGATAATAAAAGTGACAGGTATTCACACTTCAAAACAGATCACTGATACATAGATCAAGGATGTACCTCGTGGTTCCTGATTAATTGATCAATGAGTAATCTCCAGTTCCGTAGGTCATAGTTGACTCTAAAGTAGCCAGTTTGATTGATGTTCCCAAGGACCCAGCTTCCTTTGTCCAAGTATGCTATTCTGTGATGTTCTAAAAGCAGCATTGGAGAATAAACAGTATTTTAAGTTTTTAGAGTTTAAATGAAATAAAGTAAGTCTTTTAAATAACAGGAACAGCATTATCAATAATTGAAAGAAAATGTCACCCTAAAATGAAATTGAAATCGAATCTTTAAGTAATCCCTTCCATCTAAAACTGGATAGAAATTTTTTTATTTTGTTACTAATTATTACATCCATTAGTGATTTTGTAAATAATTAACACTTTTGTTCTTGACAGAAGTCTATTCTATTCACAATTTTCATTTTTGAAATTCATGGTGTCTAGAATTCTGCCACTATATTAATATAGCTTTTAATTAGATTGTAAGTGTATATGCAGCTAGAACAAAAGACATCTTTAGACATACATATTTTATTTGTTTTATTCAGGATGATAGTGGTTAAAACAATAGAAATCACTTATTTGAAAGTCATTTTTTTAGCTTTTTTGTGGAGTGCAAATAAAAGATTTTCCAAAACCACCAATAGTGACAGAAGAAGCAAACCTCATTTGTTCAAGACTCTAACAGCTCCACACAGAATTAGGAACAAGGAGAATGCATCTTTCCTAACGGAATGACTTGGGAACAATTGGAACTTGTGTTTAACGAGTGATTCAACTAACAAAGGCCAAGAAAAATGGTATAACTCCTTCCATATTTAACTCCTTCAAATATAGCATAGAGTTACTTTTGCTTGTGGAGAGTGAGCAATCATAGACTTCACAGAACAATCATCATTCACTGTAATAATTTCCCTGTTGAAGTTCAGACTCATCTTCATGGACTTTTCACAATGAGGTTGAATTAAAATTTGCAGGCGCACACAAACACAATCTGACAGCAGATGGAACACAGCCATCAGTGAATAAAATATATGGGTGTGTTTTAACTTCTATGACTCAAAGCCATGCAATTTTTTATTAAGATTTTACAAATCAAAATCAATTATACTAAACAAAGCATGCTTGCAATTCTTTAAGAGAAGGAAGGTATAAATTGCTGTCAAATAAACAATGTACAAGAAAATGTTGAATGAGATAGATTGATCCAATGCATATTACAGACTAGCAATTTTCAAAAATCAGCCAAAAATGAGATGTAATAAAGGTCAAATTTATGCTTTATATTGTACTTGTACTGTAAATCTGCTGTGGTCACAGGATCTAGGGAGAACCTACTGATGTTTTGCTAAATGGACATGTTGTCCAACTGCCCTCTAAATACTTAATCTATACTGCTCTCAGCTTTCATTAGAGAGTATCAGGGTAACTGTGGACTCATAAATGAATTGAGGAAGGTTCCTTGTGTTTCTATTTTGTGGAAGAATTTGAGTGTTATTAGCATTAACTGGTCATTGAAAGTCTGATAGAATTCTGCACTAGAAGCATCTGGTCCTGGGCTTTTAGTTTAGTTTTGGTTTTTGTAGACTTTATTCAATGCTTCTATTTAATTGTGAGTTCTAGGTCTATTTATCTGATCTTTATTTAACTTTGGTAGGTGGTATTTACTAGGAAAACAATCCACTTATTTTAAACTTTCTAATTGGTGAAATATAGATTCTAAATTATGTTCTTAGGATTCTCTGAATTCCCTAGGTGTCTGTTCTTAAGCCCCCCTTTTACCTCTAATTCGGGTAAATTTGATATTCTTGCTCTGATTTTTAATTTGGATAAGGGTTTGCTAATCTTGGTGATTTTCTCAAAGGGCCAACTCTTCATTTTATTAGTTCTTTGTATTGTTTAATTATTTCTGTTTTTTTTTTATCTCAGCCCTGAGTGACATTATTTCTTGCCATCTATTCCACTTGGGTGTGATTTCTTTCCTTTTACTTTTCCTTTTATTTCTAAATCTTTCAGGTGAGCTTTATAACTTTTTATGTTGACAGTGCTATGTATGGCCTCTTGGAACCTCCTTTATTGTCTCCCATGAGTTTTGATATTTAATAGTTTGATATTCATTCAATTATAGAATGTCATTAATTTCCTTTCTAATTTCTGTCTGGAGTTATTTTTTCATTCAGTAGAGAGCTGTCCAGCTTCCATTGGTTTGTAAGCTTTCTGTTGATGGCATTCAACTTTAACTCATAGTGGTCTGATACAATGCACGGAGTTATTTCAATTTTCTTGTATCTGTTGAGACTTGCTTTTTGTACAATATGTGGCCAATTTTGAGAAAAGTCCCACGAACGGCTGAAAACAAAAAGGTATATTTGTTTTGCTTTGTGGTAAAATGTTCTATAAATATATGTTAGGTTCATTTGGTTTATGATTTTAGTTTGCTTCAACATTACTCTGTTTAGTTTTTATGTAGATGACCTGTCTATTGACAAGTGGATTGTACTGAAGTCACCCACTAACACTAAGTTAGGGTCAATGTGTGATTTAATCTGTAGTCTCGTTTCTGTTATGAACTTTGGTGAGCTTGTGCTTGGTGCATAGGCGTTAAGAATTAAAATGTCATCTTGGTGAATTTTTCATTTATATACAAATGTGAATAAAATGAAATTACAAACTTATGGGAGACAATGAAGGCAGTTCTAAGAGGTAATTCATAGCCCTAAGTGCCTACATTAAAATATATTATACATATTACTATTTATAAGAATATATTGTATATATACGCATATGTATATATGTATACACACACACATATATATGTATATATATATATATATATATATATATATCTTGTGTGCTCTAATAAGCACTCTAAATGAATAAATGACCTTTCATTTCAATTTAAAAATTTGGTAATTTTATTTTTAAGGCTTTCTAGTTTTTAACTGTGTGTTTGTGTGTGTGTGTATTCGTGTGTGTGTGTGTGTGTGTGTGCATGCAAAGGTATGTTCAATAATTACAGATACATACAGAAGACACTGGATCCCAAGAAGGTGGAGTTACAGGATGTTGTGAGTCGCCTAAAATGGGTTTTGAGAACCAAACTTGGGTCTTCTGTAAGAGCACTATGTACTCTTAACCTCCAAGACATTTTCAGACACATTGATTGAGATAATTTTCATTAATGATTTTTCTGGTTAAGCTTTAGAATCAAGCTGAATATATGCGCAAATGGCATAATTTTATAAATATCAAATAATCTTACTATATTAAATTAATTTTTCAAAATTGTTTCTTATTTACTAATTGGATAGTGATGTGCATAAATACCATGTAATTCAATTTGTTCTTATTTTTATTTACTATTATTATTTATTTAGGTATATTAGAGTCAAGTAAGGATGTATATTAAAACATGAAAATAATCTGTCATCTTCTACATTACATGACTAAAATAAGAAAGACAAGCATCAATTGTTTTAATACATTCTATTATTAAACTTATATCCAAAACCTGAAGTTATTACTATTCATGAATATTTGTATGGCGTTGTTATAAATGATATCTTTGGGAAGCAATTCCCAGAAAGATTTTGTAATAGATTTTAAAATGTCTTTGCAGTACTGGTTAATTACATTCCCAAAATGTTCTGCAAATTAACTAATAGCAGGCAATGAATTTTAAAATGATCTTTTCTGATGGCCTAATGAGGTATGGTGTTTGATGAGTTCTGTAGCAAAAGTATGGAAGTTATATTTCAAATGTTCATAATAATAACTGAAAATCTTATTTATGTCCAAAATGGCACAAAACTCAGACTATATCTAGGCATAGATAAGTTGGTATTTTATAGCAGGTTTTACTTTATAGCAACCATGGGAATGACAGTGGAAATGATATTTTACCATTGCTAGCCAAATATGCTACTTGTAGAAACTAACTAAAAATAATATAAGTAGAAAAGATACCTAGAATGGCATGTGTAATTATACAGGAAAAATTAATCCATAAATTATAGAATATATTGATCTTTCTCCCTGGATATTCGTGAAAACCCAATGATATAATATCTGGTGTAGTTTCTTGAGTTCTTTGTATATTTTGAAAATCAACATCCTGTCAGATGTATGATTGGTGAAGATCTTTTCGAATTTTCTAGGCTTCTATTTTGTCCAACTGACAGTGTACTTTCCCTTACAGAAATTTCATGAGGTCTTATTTATTAATTGTCAATCTTAGTGCCTGTGCTATTGGTATTCTGTTTAGGAAGTTGTCTCATGTGCCAATGTGTTTGAGATTATATACCACTTTCCCCTCTGTCAGGTTCAGTGTATCTGGATTTATATTGAGGTTTTTGATCCACCTGGACTTGAGTTTTGTGCAGGGTGATAGATATTGATCTATTCGCATTCTTCTACCTACCAGCATCCAGTTTGATCAGCACCACTGTCAAGGTAGTGTGGCCGAGCAGTCTAAGGCTCTGGATTAAGGCTCCAGTTTCTTCTTGATCAGCACCACTTATTGGAGAGGCTTTATCTTTTCCATTGAATAATTTTGACTTCCTTGTTGAAAATCATGTGTTCATAGGTATTGTGATTTACATCTGGGTATTCAATTTTATTGCATTGATCCATATGTCTGTTTTCATGCCAATATAATGCAGTTTTTATTACTGTAGCTCTGTAGTAGAGGTACTAAGATTGAAACCAGGGATGGCGGTACTTCCAGAAGCTCTTTTATCATACATGTTTCTTTTAGCTATCCTGGGTTTGTTCTTTCAAGGTCTGTAAAGAATTGTGCTGGTATTTTAACGGGTATTGCATTGAATCTATAGATTGCTTTTTGTTAGATGGCCATTTTTGCTATGTTAATCTTACTGATCCATATGAATGGGAGATCTTTTCATCTTCTGATACTTTTTTAAATTTCTTTCTTCAAAGACCTGAAGTTCTTATCATACACATCTTTCATTTCCTTGGCTGGAGTTAAACCAAGATATTTTATATTATTTGAGGGTATTATTATTTGAGTTATTGTTTCTCTGATTTCTTTCTCAGCCCATTTATTCTTTGTATATAGGAGGGCTACTGAATTTTTTGAGTTAATATTGTAACCAGTTATAAGTAAAGGAGTTTACCAGCTGTAGAAGTTCCCTGGTAGTTTGGGTATCTGCTTATGCATACTATCCTATCATCTGTAAATAATGCTACTTTGTCTTCTTCCTTTGCAATTTGCATCCCCTTGTATCCCTTTAGTTATCATATTATTCTATATAGAACTTGTACTATATTTAGTAGCTATGGTGAGAGTAGACAACATTGTCTTGTTACTGATTTTAGTGGAATTATTTTGAGTTTCTTTCCATTTAGTTTGACGTTTTCTGTTGGCTTGTTGTATAATGCTTTTATTATATTCAGGTATGTTCCTATATTCCTGTTCTCTTCAAAACTTTTATCATGAAGGAATGCTGAATTTTGTCAAATGCTTTTTCAGCATCTAGGGAGATAATAATGTGGGTTGATTACATTGACAGATTTTCATATGTTGAGCCATCTCTGCATCTTTTGGGTGAAGCCTACTTGATCATGGTGAATGATCCTTTTGATGTGTTCTTGGATTTGGTTTAGGATGTTCAAGCATACCACAAGGATACTTGCTCAGCTATGTTCATGGCAGCTTTATGTGCAGTAGCCAGAACCTTGAAACAACCTCAATGTCCTTCAGCTAAGGAAAGGATAAAGAAAATGTAGCATTTACACAATGGAATAATAGTCAGCTGTTATTAAAAAAAAGAGGGAGACCAGGAAATATGAAGGCAAATGGATAGAATTAGAAAAAAATCACCTTGAGTGTTTAACCCAGATACAGAAAGAAAAACATGGTGTTTACTTATTTATAAGTGGATACTGGCTGTCAAATAAAGGGTAAGTATGCTACAGTCCACAGACCTAGAGAATCTAGGTAACAAGGGAGGGTTTCTGGGTGAGACAGCTAGATCCCACGGGAAGGGAAATAGTTGAGATTTTGTGAGTGGACGGAGGATGGGTGGGTGTGAGAACATGAGCAATCAGATTGTGGGAGAGGGGAAAGTACTGAGGGGAACTGCTGGCCAGAGACATTTCAGGATCTGGTGGAAGCCTGGTGCATGGGAACCGCCCAGGAGTCTACAGGGAGGGCCCCAGGTTAAACTTCTAGCATTAGTGGATAAGTACCCTGAACTGGCCTTCTCCTGTGACCAGATTGGCGCCTGGCCCAATTTTCATCAGAGTGGCATCATCCAGAAACTCATAGAGGCAGATGCAGAGACCCACAGCCAAACTTTTGGTGGAGTTTGAGAATCCAATGGAGGGGGTGGAAGGAGTATAGGATCCAGAGGAATCAAGGACATCATGGGAAGGCTCACACAGTCAACTAACCTGGCCTCATAGAGGCTGGCAAAGAGTGAAGGGACAACCAGGGAGCCTGCATGTAACTGACTTAGACACTTTGCATATTTGTAACAATTGTGTAGCTTGGTCCTCTCATGGCACACCTATCAGCGGGAACAGCGGTAATTTTTTTTGTATCAGAAGTTTTTTTATTTTAATTTTAAATAGCTTGTTTTACATGTCAATCCCAGTTCTCTCTCCCTCCCCTCCTCCCGCACTCCCCACCCCCCATCCTCCCACCCTATTGCCAATTCCTTCCGCATAGGGGATATCTAGAGTCTATCATTTCACTCAGGGTAGGGTCCAGGCACTTCCCTAAGAGTCCAGGCAGAGAGAGCCTGGATGTTAACCAAGGAAGTGAAAGAACTGTATATCAAGAACTTTGAGTCTTTAAAGACAGAAATCAAAGAGGATACCAGAAAATGGAATGATCTCCCATGCTCTTGGATTGGTAGGATCAATATAATAAAAATGTCAATCATGCCAAAAGCAGTCTACAGATTCAATGCAATCCCTATCAAAATTCCGGCACAATTCTTCACAGACCTGGAAATAGGGGGTAATTTTGACTCTGTACTGGCTTTGGAGCCCTACTCCTCATACCTGGTCGCCTTCCCTAACCTTAAAACACAGGAGGTCTTACTTAGTCTTACTTGATAAGCCATTTTTTTTTACTGATATTCATAGGAGACCTAGCCTTTCCCAGATGGAGACAGAAGAGGGGATTTGGAGTGGTTGAGAGGGATGCAGATGCCAGGGAGGAACTGGGACTGAAGGATGCCGGTAGGCTATAGCTAGGATGTAAAAGAATAGACAAATAAAAACAAAACAAAAAATAAATAAATAAAATAAATAAAAGAAACAGCCCATTTGAATCATTCACAAAGTCTTAAGTGCACTGTAGATTTCAACACATAAAAATACTTATAGTAAAAAGGCTAAAGGAGGAGCTCTCTGATAATTCTTCTATTTTTGATAAAATTGTGATAAACTTACAGAAGGGATTCCTTTCTGTATTTCTTTTACTTCCCCACGACCTTGAAAGGATTGTTATTTAAAAATGTGTTATTAAAATCAAGGAAGAGTTCCCCCCCAATAAATGAAGTCTCTGCTTCTGTATCCTTCCAATGTATGACTAATTGTGATCATACTTCAATTATTATTTGGAATATAAATTCATACAATTCTAAGGAAATTAATACTATACTTAATTACTTTCCCTTGACTTTTAAAGAAACATATAAACTTAATATTTACATATCAGTCTAAAATGAAGCTATGCAGAAACTAAATTATGCCTAATTTTGCAGAAGTGATTATCATTACTGTGTTTTCTCTTTATAATTTGTCTTTATTCACATTTTTGAAGCAGCTGAAAACAGAGGTTAAGAAAAAAACAATTATCTGAATGCAAATGTTCCCTGGGAGAGAATTTATATTTTACCTGATTTGTTAGACACCCAAATAATTGTCTCTGAAGACACATGGCTTCTATTTCCTACCACAATGGTTAATGGAATCTGCCACAGGTAACTGGAAAAGAAAGAAAGCTTTAAGAGTAAAAATAGATAAATCAAAACAAAAGTAAGCAAGCATTGTCTATGTTCCTTCTGTGCAAATTTAATTCAGAAAAAAATCAAATCATAATATAAGTCCCAAGCCTAAAGATTGTATGCAGAGGGCAAACATAACTTTCCAATGCCAGTTAAGAGATTCTTGGTGTTTAATGGTTTTAAATTCAATGCAAAAGAAATTCTATAAAACAATTTATCTTTGAAAAAGATATTTGTATTTTAGAAATAAATGCAACTAAAAACTATAAATGTGAGGTGCACTATTTATTTATTCAAGTCTAACAATAGCTCTCTTCTACTTTTTTTCTGGACTAGACTAATAGACAATTCAGTAGTTTCCTATATTTGCATATTAACATTGTCCTTATTTATTGCCTAACAAATCTGAGGGGCACTACCCACATGTTTTGCAGAGAGTTTAATATGGCACACCAAAGTAACTCAGCAAATAATGAAGAACAAAAATAGTCAGTTTTCACTAAAATTCACATCTATGTAAAGAATAATGTGAGCACACTTCATGATCTGCTTTTCTGAAAAGAATTTCTAAGTTGATGTGACAAAGAAGCCACCAACAGAAGGGGTCAGCTATAAGTCTTGGCTGTTAAATGAAGCATTTTATTTCATTTATCTCTTCATGGGATAAAAATTGAGGTCATAGATGAAGTAATATCAATGTAATCTTAAATGAGTAGCCAGACATACGTGGGATGATTTTACAATAAACCCATAAACTTTACTCTGTTTCCTTCATGAAATACAAACAATTTTAACCTTATGGTAGCCAGCAATTACATTATAGGAAAAGAAGTACCTGAAATATAACAATAAATTTTATACATACTTTATCACTGAGTGAAAAGAGTATTAAAATGCTTCAGGAGAGAATGCCTGAGGTAATAAACTGTAATGAGCATATCTTGGCCTCTGTGCCTGCCTGTTTTCATTTTACAGAAAATCCACATTTAATTCTAATTATTAGAAAAAGGCTAAAAATGCATATGCATGTTTGAATTGGGAGGAGAAAACGCCTTATAAAAAATAGTATCAATGTTAAAGAAGTATCAGTATAAAGTACTAATGTCAACTCAGAGAAGGAAAGCCTGATTGGGCTGGTGCATACAATTCTGTGTAGATCAGAGCTTTAAGAAAAACCTCAGAATATAAGGAGACATTATGCAACATTGCAAATTAGTGATTTCATTTATTTGAAAATGCCACAAACCTCCAACTACCTAAGTAACAAGAGTCTAGTACAAATGTCACACTATGTCACAATCAGCTAACTTTATGAAATTTGTAGTTACATAAGGATCTTTCTATGGTTTAATACAAGGACTATGTATGAAAAATATAACTACTAGACCTATTAAAATCTTCTGAGCATATTGTAGTAATATCCTGATATCCTCAGGAAAAGATGAAAACAAAAATGAACTCAGGTTAAAAATATGCACAATTTACTAGAAATTTTGGCATAGGTGAACAAGTTCTGGTACATCAATGGAGTACATTGTATGGCAGAGTTAGAAAGGCTGTCTGCAAAGGCCAGTTAGAATTGGTATTGAATCTTTGACCAGAATGTCAACAGAGAATTAGATGACCAATAACATTAAATTAGAAAACTCCATTCCAAGTATAGATTTTACTATTTTTAAATAGAAAACAATTCCTGGAACTACTGAGATGCTTTGCATCAGCATCACATCTCCTTTATATGTTGTGTGGCAAGTATTCAGGGTTTGACTTCTCCACGTGTTTCTGTAATTCTAGCAGATACAAAGCTCTGTTATTGTGTATGTTTACACAGCCCAGATGATACATTTTCATTTAAAAGCCCAAGCTCAAAGCTAGTATAAGAATATATGTCATAGACTGACAAAGTGCTTTTGTACAAAATTTGTCCTGTCACCCTTTATGTGTCCTTTATGTTTTTTATGCATCAGTGACACTATGTCAGGATAGCAGTTCTCAGAGGCCTGACCTGATCTCTCTCTAACTTAGCCATAGCAAAGTGCTTTCCAGCAAAACCAAGTTTGATGCCTGATGATGTTGACACTGGACCAAGACAGTGAAGGAGATACAGGAGGCAGTTGGTGCTGCATGGACCAGAAAAAGCAGAGAAGCACTGATGCTCTTCCCTTACCACAGAGAGGCTATGACATGGTGATGCATATTGAGAGAATCCAGAGAATGGCTGAGATATATGCAAAGGTCAATGTATTTAAGGAGTAAGGGTTGTATAAGGCCCTGATTACTGGAGAGAAATCTCAATATGTAACAGATTTATTGAACAAGAAGACCTGAGTTCAAATACACAGCACCCACATAAAGTTGTAGCACAAACTTATGATAATCTCAAGGCTCCTGTGGAGACATGGGAGGCAAAGCCAGGACTGTAGTATCCAGACCATCTATCAAGTCCTACCCAATGATGAATAAGAGATCCTGTCTCAAACAAGATGTAAGGTGAGGACTGGTACCTGTGGTAGTTCTTTAACCTCCACGTGTGCAGTTTGACACACACAAGTATGCACATTACAGGAATACATACAGAGACTAAAAATAACAACCCCACTTTCCTAAATCTAATGTCAAATGCATTCATTAGAAAGCAACAATGAATTTCTCAACCATGGCTCTGTACATCCTCTGGACCAAACTGACTTGGAAATGGTTTGATCTTTCTTATATCAGCCTTTAAAATAAGGAGCAAGATAGAAAACATGGAATAAAATAAATAAATTTAAAAGAAAGCTAAAATAACAAATCAAGATTTCAGGCCAATGGGATAGCTGGGGAAACAAGACCTTTGTGAGTTATTCCCCAGCCCATGATGTATAGTGAGCCTGAGACTAGCTAGGCTATTGAATGAGATCCAGTTTTGACAAAAATCAACCGAACAAGGAGCAATTCTATATGTGTTGTATCTAGCCAATGAGCTAGAGCACTGTAACTGAGAGGAAAAGAACATATGTTGATCTTACATGGCCCCTACAAGCTTGAATTATTTTAAGGTCTACATTATGTTCCTTTAACTCAGGCATTATTAAGTACAGAACTTTGGTTTAATTAGTTTTTTCTGGATTGTTAGTTTTGGCTCTCATTTGTCTTGTAAAGCACATTTAGTTCAATTCCACAAAATTCATAGCAACAGGTTTTAACTATTGAATTTAATTCAAGAGCTATTTGTAGAGAAGGGAAGATGAAAATCTTATCTTTGAAAGTCACCACGTTAATTCAAAGTTCTGCCTTCTGAAATAAATGCTATTACATTGAAAGTTAAAATCTTGGCAGAGGGATAGAGAGGAGGCTCAATGTTTAATAGCACTGACTGTTCATCAGACAACCCATGATAGAATTCCAGTAAGTACAAGGCATCTAACAACTGCCTATAACTCCAGTTCCAGTGATCCAATCAATGACCTTCTGACTTACCTAGAAACCTGTCACTCACATGGTACACAGGCAAACATCCTGGCAAAACACCATATACATCAAATAAGTAAACAATATAGTTTTTAAAAGCTTAAGGAAATTGTAACAAAAGAAGAATCACAATAGACTGAAGTATATTCTACTTACATTTCAGAATTTTCTCAGTGGTCAATTAAATATTTCTTTATTTATTTAAAGGTAAAACATTCCTCAACATATAAAATACTAAAATGAAAAGTGAAATATTAAAATCATAATTTCATTTCAGAGAACAAGCATGCCATACCTGTTATTCTGAAGTTGGAGTGCTTTGGTTTTAGCACTGATGTCATAAATGAAATGCTGTTGGGTGATAATTATTCTATTTTCTACTGTCATGTTTCCCAGGATGGTGATAACAGGATATCCCATCTGGAGTGTCCACTGATCCATTACTTCTTGTATGTTCACGTATTTTCCATTTCTCTTTAAAGCCTTTACAACCAAAATCGCACAAATTAATCTATTAACACTTCTTGTAAGCATAATTAACATTAATCTGTTCTCGTTTTCACCATTACAATTTACCGCAATATGAAACATTTAAAATCAGTGAAGCCAACATTATGTGCTAGTAAAATTAATCTTCTTGCTTTGAGTTTCTTATATTGTTTTGTCGCACATATATGTACTGCTGAGTTTTACAAACATTAAAATTTTTGCACAGCAGAATATAAAATGTAAGTTGTTATTACAAGTACTTCTACATCATTTTGCATTCCAGACAGGTTTACTATCATGAGGGAAATTTTTTCTAAAAACTTCAGCAATTCTGCTTTTAACATGAATCTACAATTCCACATTAAAATATAATTCAAAAATATTGTCACGCTTAATGTACAAGACCTTTGCAAGATCGTGATAGTCAAAAATCCCAATGTGGATGGCAAAGGGAGATCACAAAGTCCCACCTTAGCTGAGGAGCTATCGACAATTGGTGACTAGTGGAAGGAGAGTCAAATTTCTTCAAGTATGTGGCCCCAGAGGGACTACCCATGCCTTTACATCATATAGATGATCCTATACAAAGTCACATACTGAAAACAACTGTAAGTGAGCTTGGTGAATTTTCTTTAAAGAACTAGAAATTGGGATATAATCATGATGGGAGGAGGCACTTGAGGGGGGAGGATGAAGGTAGAGTTACTGATACAAATAAAATAGGGATATTTATAAAATTATCACTTAATTAAAAACAATGTCACTTTTCAAAACAGACAAGATATTTCACCAACATCTGTAAGTCAAGTAAGTTTAAGGCTTATCTTCTTGATATTATCTAAAAATTAAAACACCAAAGCTATATGAAGAAAGAGGAATTATACAAAATAATTATAAACTGCCCATGCCAATAAAAGTTAATATCTTATAAATGAAATTCAGTTGCTCAGGAAGACACTTTGATACTTCAACTTCCTCTACATTACCTCTGATAATGTATTCCAGAGATCATTTCTGGCTGCATTGCCATACTTGTGAATAGTTAAATAATCCTATAAGAATATAAAATTGTAATTACCACTCAAAGGTTAAGCAATTACCAGTAAACACATTTATTTCTCAGTTCAATTAACCATTTCCATGTGTGGAATTGCATTAAGGCAAAGAGGAAGACCTGCAAAAAAAGATTTAGAATAGCATTTAAAAATATTCCCAAGAGTTTTAACTAGAGCATATTTCCTAAGTCACCCAACAATACTAATTTCTTAAGAAGGATTTTTCACAGCTATAATCACGTCTTATGGATTCCCAAGGTCAAGGATACACTCTAACTGAGCTGGCCAATACCACCTCATTAGGAGAATATGGTCTCTGCAATGAAATACACAGAACAAACTTCTCATCACCCCATTCAAAGAGAAACATAACTCTTTCATGGGAAAAATTTTTAGGCGCTATGTTGATGCTGAGGGGGAACTTTCCACTCCCTATGTTCTCTCTAATTGCTCTATGAAAAGGAAATATTGGCAATGGAAAAGGTAAGACCTACTTCTGTAGTTTGAAACATTCATTACTATCAACAACAACAAAAAAAGTTTCCTCCTAAGTTTCTTTACAACTTCAGTCTTAGGATCTCCCATTTCTCATTATGCTTCATTAGTAGTTAAGCCTACATACTTTGATTCACACCTTGCTTCCTGCTAAGAAGTGTGGTCTGTCTCATTATCAAGGTGACAGCTATCAAGATAATTAGCATCAGATTATTTTTTCTGATTTCAAAGTACAAAAGTGAACAAGAAGGACTGATTTCTATTTTTTTAGAAAGTCAAGAAAACTTACATTCAAAATTATATTTTCTTAACAACATGTAGGTAAAAAGACAATTTCTAATATTTTTATCAAAGTTCTTAAACTGAAAAAAGTTGCTTACTTTTCAATACTTTATGAGGGATTTGACACTTTGAAGATGATTAGCATCAGAGAGGGAAATTTCAATACAAATGTAAGAAACTGTGACAGTTTCAGCTCTTGCTGGCAATTCACAGCAGAACAAATGACTGTTACCACTTAATCATATGCCCAGAGAAATGATGTCCAAACCCCAACACAGCAACTACATGTTCAACTTAATCATCAGGTGTTATGAATAACTTTGTTAAACATAGAACACACATACAGCTCATCATAATCAATATGAATCTCAATTCAGATTTAACCAAGCTTCAGGAACCTTGTTCTATATAAACCCGGGATCTAGGTTTGTATGCGTTGGAGGGGGAGTGCATGGGAGGTACAGGGAGATGGGTTTTAAATATATGAGTTCAGTTTTCAATTTCACTCATTTATTATTTCTTTCAGCGCTTAAATGAATGGATTTGGGAAGAATGCAGCATTAACTACACTACTAGATGAAGAGAAACAGGCAGTCAATGGCTGTTGACAGGGGACAAGCCCCACTGATAACTTCTCCAATGCCAGGTGGTCAACATTAAATCCATGTATATCTGAGCAACACTAAGTGGAATCTCAAGGATATATAGATCATAGTATATAATACCAATTCTTATTATACAGTAATAAGTCATGAATTCAAGAGGAAATAGGGGAGAGCTTGGGGGAATAGTGGAAATGATGTCAGTACAATGCACTCATTTATGAAATTCTAAAAAACACTAAAAAAGAAACACATCAGTTTTTAAGAATATATTAAACTAACTGAACTGAACATATTAAATTAAAACCATTCAGAGTTTGGTTTGCTTGTGGGTCATGCTTCTAGAATACTAACAAGGAGAAACAAAGAATACTATGAGGTCCAATAAATTAAATTTTCATCTCATAGGCCACTAAAAGTTGTATGACTTCTGCTATAAGTTGATCTTGTTCTACTGAACAATAGAATACTTAGTCATCCTCCGGTTAATAATAAAGTACCACTTCAGGTGAGTTGAAATGTCACTTGTCAGGGTTAAGGGGCAGCCCCAGTCTTGGTGCCCCAGTGGTCAGTAATGGCAGCATTCTTCAGGGCCCCTCAAGACACAATCCTCAGGTGTAATGGGAATCAACATATGTCAACTTTTTCCCCAGAAAAATGACTTGTAATTTTATTCTTTTCTTGCACAAAACCTTTCACTTACTATATGAGCAAAATGTCATTGCCTAGCATGATTACAAATAAATCCACAGGATAGTGAATTTTACTTTAATAGTTAATCATCCATTCATTAACTTTATAAAATATATAAACACTTGGCATGTCAAGGAGCTTTGTAGGTGCTGAGGAGATGTCGGTAGGGGAAAGCTTATTGAGAATAATCGCAAAAAAACCTAGCTATAATTCGTGCGGGAGGACTTACTTCTATTACTAAACCTGGAGATGCCATGGTACAACTACATTCAAATATTTGTGTGTAATGAATAAAATTTTAAGTTTCTTTCAAACCTGCAATGCAATGAATAAGGAGATCTCAGACATGTGAATCTGAAATAGAAATCTATGTTTTTCTCCGGGTATATGAAAGACAATCAGCAACAGATTTGGCATTATTACATAACATTGAATGCTTCAGTGTTAACATGTAAAGAATTATGGGTACCCTACACTAGTTACTTCAGAAATGAAGTTATTGGAAACAGCAAGCAAAAAGAACCACTAGCCTCTGTGAAAGTACATGGCATAAAAATATGGATAGATTAAAAGCTAAACATATAGTCAATAAGAATGTGTTTTTGATAGATCTACTGAGGAAGAGAGGCATCATGGTGCAGGGGTTTAAAGATTGGGAATCTGACAAGTCGGGAATCAAATTCAAGGTCCAACACTCACTAGCTGTGTGATATGTGAATTATGAGCAATTATCTAGGCACTTTTTGCCTTTTTCCACATCTATAAGATGAAGATAGTAAAAACACATTACACATAGTTACTTTTATGAAAATGCATACAATGTTAGAGTGATGAAGAATTCCTAGTATACAGTGATAATTCTGTAGGCATTATTTCATAATCTTTTTAATAACTTCAGGCTACAGGTTGGAAAACTGGGCAAAAGAAGGGAAAGTGTGTTTGGCAATGATGGGGACTAAAACACATTTGAAGTAATTTTGCATAGCTTTTGGCACACTATAATTTCTTTATACTGTATCTCATTTGATTAACACCACTTCATCCTTTAACAAGTCAAAGGCTGGACATCAGGGACTGTGGGCCGTATCCAAATCACAAAGAAATGATGCAAACAACTGTCTACTCACAGCCAACAATCAAGTTATGCTACAGACACAGGGGTAATCACATGTACCTGTGAGCTTACCGCCCTTCAACAGCAGCTCCTTTTGTCAGCCTTTTACAATGACAACTTTCCATCCCCTCAACTGTAAAGTCACCATGATGCCTCTGCTTCCCCACTTTCAAATGATCGTTTGTGATAGAAACAATGCCTCTCCATGACCCTCCCATTCCATTTCACTTCTTTGATGGTCACTCTCCTGAATGTTGCTTGGAAGAAGTCAAGTGTCACTGTCCTTCTTCTATTGCTTTAGTTATAATGTCTACAATGAAGCCAGAAAACTTCTGGGCAAATTGTCATATAAACCACTGGTATGCTCCAACTGTTATTCAAACTCCTTCATGTAACTTAAAAATATTCTTCTTTAACCCCATCTGCTTCCCTCCTGTTTCATTGCCTCACCTGAGACACTTTGATGTTTTAGAACACGCCTGATACATCTTTTCTAACTCTCTGCTCACGCAGTTTTTCTGCATATTAGCCTCTCTTTTGTTCACTTAAACTCAGTTTATCCTCCAGAACTAACTCTGATAAATTTCTCCCAGGAATCTTTCTCTGCCCACTTCAATACCTTAATTTGGAACTATCTTTCTTAAGTTGATATTCACTGAGAACATATCATAGTGCAATTGGTTGTTTACTGTTGACTGCCCACATTGTCTATGCAGATTTCAAGGAAGCGAGGAACTTGTCATACAATCTTATTACTATTTAACCAGCTTCCCTGTACATAGCCAGGTACACACTCAATATATGTCTGTGATACATCACTGGATGTGCAGGATGGTTCTCTGTTAATAATGATAATGCAGTTATTAACTTGCACCTATTAATTAGCCTTACTTACCCAAGAGATCCTCTAAAGATAGCAATATAGGGCATTATTTCCATGGATACTTTTCAAATATATAACTTAAATTTAACTTCATCAAGATCGAATTATTGCATCTGAGACAAATTACTACTTTCTCCACATGGAATGATTCATGACATTTCATGTATGAAAGGCAATTTGACAAAAATGACAAGGGGAAAGAAAAGTAAAGTGACTGAGCTAAGGAAAGCATGGGTACTCTTTTTATCTCGTAAGACATGAAAATAATTAGAGAATACTTGTGCTCCTCTTAATAAGTCCCTTAGCAAGACTGAATGAAGAATTAACAATCTAAGTGACTTGTTCCTGAGGCCATAGGTGATGGTCCAATAAAATCTTTGTGGCTATTTTCTCTGTGTTGAGCTATAAGAAGCAAAACTGTCCAAAGCACAATGGCTTTTAGAATAGGAAAACTTCTTCATATTAGAGATAGAGCAGAGCCAATCCCTCTTGCTTTTATCCATGACTTAGCCTCACTCTCGGTTTTGTATCTGGATGGCAGCAGCAATCCTAGGCATCACTTTCAGTCAGAACTTGAACAGAGGAGAAAGACAGCATCCTATAATGGGACTCTGTCTGAAAGTCATGAAGTTTCTCCCCTGAAGCAAACTCATTTTCAACATTATTGCTTATCAAAATCACAGTGCATGTTTCAGCAACAGACCACACAGTTTAAGGTAGCATCATTTGGTTCCATCACAGGGAAATCATGGCCACCAAAACCAAATCGCTCCCAATGAGGATGAGGACTTAAAAGAAAGCAGGATATTGCTGATAAGCAAACACAGTGGCCTATCTCTGGATAGACCAGTAGCAATTGTGTACATTCTATGATGAGGAGAGACACTCAAGTATGAAACTTAGTGAATGTCCTCTACAATAAAATTAG